TTTATTTGAAGTATAGTTGATTTACAGTGTTGTGTTAGTTTCAGGTGTACAGCACAGTGATTCAGTTATACATATATATGTATACATATTCTTTTTTGGTGACTGGCTTCCTTCCCTTAGTGTAATGTTCTCAAGGTTCGTCCATGTTGTGGCATGATTCATTCCTTTTATGGCTGAATAATACTCCATTGTATGGCTATATTACATTTTGTTTATCCACTCATCAGTTGATGGGCATTTGGGTTGTTTCTACTTTTTGGCTCTTATGGATAATGATGCTATGAATAAACACAAGTTTTTGTGTGGACCCATGTACACGTATCTCTTGGATCATGGTGCTTAATAGTGGGACTTTGCTGCCAGACTGCCTTGGGCTTAAGGTCAGACTACCATTGACTAGTTGTGTGACCTTGGGCAAGTTACTTAACTTTTCCGTGCCTCAGCTGCATAGGTAAACTCTGGCTACAACGTCTTTTGTATATATTTTCCATTTGCTCTGGTATCCAGCCGCTTATTATTTCATTCAACAGATTCAGCTGATTTCCACTCACAGGAGTAAAAAGCACTTACAGGCATAAAAGACACTGAAACTTATTGTAAGCTGCCTTAATTCATCTTTCTAACCTTGTTTTTCAACGTCTCTTGTTCAAATTGGGTGTGCAAAATACATCTTGATGTCTCCCATCTTTATGCCCTGCCTGATCATTCCTCCTTCACTGTGTCATATTTTGCTTGATTCATATGTCTCATCTTTTACATGTTATTTTAGCCCCAAATGCTCACGCTTGGTCTGGCCTGTTCACTTAGCATTTGCTCAGGTATTCTCCCAATGAAAGCATCATTTCTCACTTTAGCATTTAACAAACAATCTGTGGCTTATCTCAACTGGGAATGCGAGCTTCTTGAAGGCAGGATTTTGTTTCTTCTCACCTTTGTACTGAGACTCTTGCACATAAATATTGAATAGATAGTTGTTGCTTGATTGGAACCAAAGCCAGATAAATTAATGAAATCTTTGCCTTCTGGGTGCTTAGCATGTATGATGTTGAGCTACACATATTTGCCTACATTTAATTATTTTTGACCTACGATAATGGCAATTGAGCACGGTTCCACTTCATAAGCGTTTCTATTACAATTTTAGGCTGACCCAAACATCAGTGTTCAGGTTACCGAGTAACTCATCCCCCAAGGCTTTCTCCTTCCTGCCCGTTCAACACACTCACAGAGTCATTATCAAATTCTGGGTAGAAAATCTATAGGCGGAGACAGGATGGTGGAGAAGAAGGATGTGAGCTCATCTCTTCTTTTACAAAAACACCAAGATCACAACTAACTGCAGAACAACCATCAGCCAAAAACTGAGGGAACCTATCAAAAAAGAAGAGATCCTACATCCGAAGACAAGGAAGAAGCCACAACAAGACGGTGGGAGGAGCACAGCCACGGTAAGATCGAGCTCCATACCTGCTGGGTGGGTGACCCACAGACTGGAAAGTAATTTTACTACAGAAATTCTGCCACAGGAGTGAAAGTTCTGAGCCCCACATCAACCTCCCCAGCCTGGGGGTCTGGCAACAGAAGGAGGAGCCCCAAAGAATCTGGCTTTGAGGGTCAGCAGGGTTTGACCGCAGGAATTCCACAGGACTGGGGGAGACGGAAACTCGCCTCTTGGAGGGCACAGAAACCCCACTCTTGTGTGCACCAGGACCTGGGGGAAAAAGCAGTGGCTTCATAGAAGCCTAAGCCAGACTTACCTGCTAGTATTGGAGGGTCTCCTGCAGAGGCGGGGGGCAGCTGTGGCTCACTGCAGGGACAGAGACACTGGCGGTGGTAGTTCTGGGGAGTACTCATTGGTGTGAGCCCTCCCAGAGGCCAGCATTTTCTCACCAAGACCTGGCACCACCCAACAGCCTGTAGGCTCCAGTGCTGGGATGCCTCATGCCAAACAACCAACACGGCAGGAACACAGCCACACCCATCAGCAGACAGGCGGCTTAAAGTCTTCCTGAGCACACAGCTGCTTGCTAAACACACCCCCTGACATGTCTCTGTCCACCACTGGGACCTGCACCAGGAAACCTGCACAAGCCTCTTAGACAGCCTCATCCACCAGGGGGCAGACAGCAGAAGCAATAAGAAAGAACCACAGCCCTGCAGCCTGCGGAAAAGAAACTGCAATCACAGAAAGTTAGACAAAATGAGACAGCAGAGGATTATGTTCCAGACGAAGGACCAAGATAAAAACCTACAAGAACAGCTAAATGAAGTGGAGATGGACAACCTACCTGGAAAAGACTTTAGAGTAATGATACTGAAGATGATCCAAGATCTCTCTCGGGAAAAGAATGGAGGCACGTATCGAAAAGATACCTGAAATGTTTAACAAAGGCCTAGGAGAACTAAAGGACAAGCAAACAGAGATGAACAATACAATAACTGAAATAAAAAATACACTAGAAGGAATAAATAGCAGAATAAGTGAGGCAGAAGAACGGATAAGTGAGCTGGAAGACAGAATGGTGGAAATCACTGGCACAGAACAGAATAAAGAATGAAAAGAAATAAAGACAGTCTGAGAGACCTCTGGGACATTAAACACCCCAACATTCACATTATAGGGGTCCCAGAAGGAGAAGAGAGAGAGAAACGACCTGCGAAAATATTTGAAGAGATAACAGCTGAAAACTTCCCTAACATGGGGAAGGAAACAGTCATGCAAGTCCAGGAAGTGCAGAGAATCCCAGGCAGGATAAACCCAAGGAAGAACAAGCCGAGACACATAGTAATCAAACTGACAAAAATTAAAGGCAAAGAAAAAATATTAAAAGCAACAAATAACATACAAGGGAACTCCCATAAAGTTATCAGCTGACTTCTCAGCAGAAAGTCTTCAGGCCACAAGGGAGTGGCACGGTATATGTAAAGTGATGAAAGGGAAGAACCTACAACCAAGAATACTCTACCCAGCATTCGACAGAGAAATCAAAAGCTTTACAGACAAGCAAACGCTAAGAGAATTCAGCACCACCAGACTAGCTTTGCAACAAATGCCAACGGAACTTCTCTAGGTAGAAAAGAAAAGGCCACAAGTAGAAACAAGAAAATTACAAACGGAAAAGCTCACTGGTAAAGGTAGGAAATCATCCACACACAAATGTGATATCAAAACCAGCAATCGTAAGAAGAGGAGCGTACAAACGCAGGATATTGGATGCGTCGGAAATTAAAAGCCCAGCATCTTAAAACAATGTTGTTTAAATATAGATTGCTATATCAAAACCTTATGGTAACTACAAACCAAAAATCTACAGTAGATATACACACACAAAAAAGAAAAAAGGAATCCAAGCGCAACGCTAAAGTTAGTCATCAAATCACAAGAGAAGATTCTCACAGTGGCGGCCTCCTCGGCCACATTGTGCACTATGTCGGGTGGCTTCCTGAAGGTGCTGCGCAGCGACTCCTATGTCGAGCTGAGCCAGTACCAGGACCAGCACTGCTGGGGTGACAGTGAAGAACAGGAAGAATTAATTACTGAAGGAAAGCTGTACACCACATGTTGGAAATCTCTCCTCTTATACACAACTGAAGAACAGATCTATGAACTCTTCAGCAAAAGTGGTGACAGAGAGAAAATCATCATGGGCCTGGGTAAAATGAAGAAAACAGCATGTGGGTTCTGCTTTGTAGAACACTGTTCAAGAGGAGATACAGAAAATGCCATGTGGTACATAAATGGAATGCATCTGGATGACCGGATCATTCACACAGACTGGGACACAGGCTTTAAGGAGGGCAGGCAGCATGGCCGTGGGCATTCTGGAGGCCACGTACGAGATGAGTATCGTCGGGACTATGATGCTGGGAGAGGAGGCTATGGAAAACTGGCCCCAAACCTGTGAGTGCTGAGAGCCCCATCATGAAAAACACACTCCTTTGGCCTATTGAATTTGATGTGCGTTACCCAAGGTCTGCAAACCTGCCCATCTTTACCAAGCTTTAATCAGTGTCTCTACTGAGCTGGAAGCCTCTTCATGGTTTTCCACTTAAAAATTATTAGAGGACAGAATCCAAAAGGATGACTTTAATTCTATAGTCTTAGCATCTTGGTCGTGTGTCAGATTACCAGAATGATTTCTGTTACCAGGTCAAAAATTGTGTTCCTTAGCAACAGACTTCATGTATAATGTTGATCAGCCAAAAACACACTTCTTTTAGGCAGATTTGAAAAAAAAATTTTTAAGTGTTTACCATGTTTGCATCTAAATAGGTTCATGGTCTACCTTGGGGCTTGGAATGACTATTTAAAAAATTTTAAGTTTGCATGAGATAGATAGAGTTTAATAAGTGGAGTTTTGCTATTATAATGTAGCTTTAAATTAGGAATAGATGTTTGATAACTGATTGTTTTTCTACGTTGAATTTTAATCTCTAAAGGCAAACTTAAAGAGTCAAGGGAACTTCCTAAATAGTTGGTAAGCATTAGACAGTCGCAGGGGACACCACCTCTTATGTGCTTTATATATCGGGAAATTAGGTCAGGACTTGAAGGGTATTTACTAAACACATTTTTCAAAATACGTGTTTTAGCTAACGCTAAAAAGACCAAGGGTCTGTACTACAGGGAACCTCAACTACTCTAAGGGCAAGGGGGGGGACGCTGTCAGTAGGAAATGCGGAGGAAATATCAGGAGATGTGAGTTAAAATTGCCTTGACATGATGAAGGTTGCTGTGAGAGCCAGCAGATCTTTTTTTTTTCATTTTCAAACTGATCTTGGGAATTGAGTGGGAGTTTTGTTTGTTTGTTTTGTTTTTAAAAAAAGAGCTTAAAGATCAAGAGAATGCTTAACAAAAACAAAATCAGAAATGCTTCCCTCGGGAAATGTTTTGGCTAATTCTCATACTGAAGAAGTCTGTCTTGTTTTTTCCCTAACTAACTGTGCTAAGTTTCAGAGCCTGGGTAGTGAGCTGGTGGTCTCTACAGAGAAGGGAGTCTAGAGGATTTATCTTGCATTTGTAAGGCAAGAGAGAATTTCTCTAATATTATGTGAACTATTGCTTATTTTAAACTGGTAGTCTAGTATAATTTTCGCTGATGTAAGTGAGATTTTTTTCCTCTAGCAACAAAGTATCCTCTAATTTCCAGTAGTTTGTGAAGTTGGGGCTGAAGTATCTCACTGTGAACATCTTTCACGTTACAGTAAGTGTATGTTTTCTCAAATTTATACTAGCTATTTGAACTTTAAAAGATATCTCTAAATTAGCTGTAACTATTTAGGAAAACATTTGCAAATACCTAATTTAATGAGGACATGCAATTCATTAATAATAAAATCTTTTCACACTGTAGTTTGAATTAATGTATTTTATATTTTGCAGTAAAACGTAACTCAGATTTCTACAGGCCTTAAAACCACAGACAGTGGTTCCTATTTGAATTGTCTCCTGTAACAGATTTCAATAAAATTGGACCAACTTATAAAAAAGAAAAATCACAAGAGAAAAGAACAAAAGAGGAAGGGGAGGAAAAGAAGACCTACATAAACAAATCCCAAACAATTAACAAAATGGCAATAAGAACATACATATTGATAATTACCTAACATGTAAATGGATTAAGTGCCCCAACCAAAAGACCTGGACTGGCTGAATGGATACAAAAACAAGATCCATGTATATGCTGTCTACAAGTGACCCAATTCAGATCTAGGGACTCGTACAGACTGAAAGTGCGGGGATGGAAAAAGATATTCCATGCAAATGGAAATCAAAAGAAAGCTGGAGTAGCAATACTCATATCAGACAAAATAGACTTTAAAATAAAGACTGTTACAAGAGACAAAGAAGGACACTACATAATGACCAAGGGATCGATCCAAGAAGAAGATATAACAATTATAAATATATATGCACCCACCACAGGAGCACCTCAATACATAAGGCAAATGCTAATGTAATACAATAATAGTGGGGGACTTTAACACCTCACCTACACCAATGGACAGATCATCAAAACAGAGGAAACACAAGTTTTAAATGACACAATAGACCATATAGATTTAACTGATATTTTTAGAACGTTCCATCCAAAAACAGCAGATTACATTTTCTTCTCAAGTGCACATGGAACATTCTTCAGCATAGATCACATCTGGGGTCACAAATCAAGCTTCAGTAAATTTAAGAAAATTGAAATCATATCAAGCACCTTTTTTGACCACAACGCTATGAGGCTGGAAATCAATTATAAGAAAAAAAAAAAATTGTAAAAAACACAAACACATGGGGACTAAACAATATGCTACTAACAACCAATAGATCACTGAAGAAATCAAAGAAGAAATAAAAGCACAATGATCCAAAACCCATGGGATGCAGTAAAAGCAGTTCTAAGAGGGAAGTTTATAGCAATATAATCTTACCTCAGGAAACAAAAAAATCTCAAACAACCTAAACTTACACCTAAAGGAACTAGAGAAAGAAGAACAAACAAAACCCAAAGTTAGCAGAAGGAAAGAAATCATAAAGATCAGAGCAGAAATAAATGAAATAGACACAAAGAAAACAATAGCAAAGGTCAATAAAACTAAAAGCTGGTTCTTTGAGAAGATAAACAAAATTGATAAACCTTTAGCCAAACTCATCAAGAAAAAAAGAGAGAAGCCTCAAATCAATAAAATTAGAAATGAAAAAGGAGACGTTACAATGGATACCGCAGAAATACAAAGCATCGTAAGAGACTCTATGCCAATAAAATGGACAACCTAGAAGAAATGGACAAATTCTTAGAGAGGTACAATCTCCCAAGACTGGACCAGGAAGAAATAGAAAATATGAACAGATCAGTCACAAGTAATGAAATTGAACCTGTGACTTAAAAACTTCCAACAAACAAAGTCCAGGACCAGATGGCTTCACAGGAAAATTCTATCAAACATTTAGAGAAGAGCTAACACCTATCCTTCTGAAGCTCTTCCAAAAAATTGCAGAGGAAGGAACACTCCCAAGCTCATTCTATGAGGCCACCATCACCCTGATACCAAAACCAGACAAAGATACCACAAAATAGTGCTGTTTACGATAACGAAGACATGGAAGCAGCCTAAATGTGCATCATCTGTCGATGATGAATGGATAAAGAGGATGTGGTACATATATATAATCGAGTATCAATACGCCTAAAAAAGAATGAAATAATGCCGTTTGCAGCAACATGGATGGACCTAGAGATTATCATGCTAAGTGGAGTCAGTCGGAGAAAAACAAATATCATAGGATGTCGCTTATATGTGGAATCTAAAATATGATACAAATGAACTTATTTACAAAACAGATACAGACTCACAGACATAGAAAACAAACTGACAGTTACCAAAGGGGAAAGGGAGGGGAAGGATAAATTGAGAGTTTGGGATCGACATGTACACACTGCTATATTTAAAATGGATAACCAACAAGGACCTACTGTGTAACACAGGGAACTCTGCTCAATATTATGTAATAACCTAAATGGGAAAAGAATTTGAAAAAGAATAGATACATGTATAACAATCACTTTGCCGTACACGTGAAACTAGCACAACATTGTTAAGCATTTGTATAAATACTTAATATAAAATAAAAAAATTTTAAAAACCCAAATTCTTTGTAGAAAATCTAATATAATCCAATATAATGAGTTGTCTTTCAAACCTTGCTGAATTAAACCGTAAGTCAAACCAAAATACTAATTTTCACAGAACCATTTAAAAGACCAACAAAAAAACTGATCAATCAGAATTGAACTTGAGAAGTAAAAAAACCTATTGAAACAGAAAAACATGAAGTCAATACAGCCTCTGACCCCTTGTCTCAGTCTGTGCCTGTTTGTTTCCCTTGCACACTGATGGAGCACTAATGAAGGCCCCTGGACTCTGATTGGTATCCTCAGGGTGGAGAACTAGATTTTCACCTTAGTTTCTATTCAACAGTAATCTCATTAGGACTGGGGACTTAGAAACTCCACGCATGCCCCATACAAACATCCCCATAGAGAGAGGAATGGGGCCCTGAGGCTTGGTCACCCCCTACCCAGTGCATCTGCAAGGCCAGCTTGAGGCAGTAAGTGGGAAGGGCTCTGGAAACTACACTCCGGAGGCAGTCAATTCCCGCCTCTGTCATTTACCAGTTGGCCACAATTTTTTTTTTTTTTTTTTTTTTTTTTTTTTTTTAAACACTGATGCAATTTTTTTTGCGGTACGCGGGCCTCTCACCGCTGTGGCCCCTCCCGTTGCGGAGCACAGGCTCCGGACGCGCAGGCTCAGCGGCCATGGCCCACGGGCCCAGCCGCTCCGCGGCATGTGGGATCTTCCCGGACCGGGGCACGAACCCGTGTCGCCTGCATCGGCAGGCAGACTCTCAACCACTGCGCCGCCAGGGAAGCCCCACAGCTGTCCACATTTTATTTACTACTCTGAGATTCCATTTTCCCAGCTGCAGAGTGGACATGCACGTTGCTTGGCACATAGCAGGTCCTCAATAAATGTCAGTCGCTATTTTTATCATGAAAAGCATGCATTGTTTCCGTATTAGCCAATCATATTTCATTTACTACGATTCTTGGTGGGGAGGGATAAGTCAGGAGTTTGGGATTAGCAGATACAAACTATATAAAAGATGAATGACAAGGTCCTACTGTATAGCACAGGGAACTATATTCAATATCCTGGAATAAACTATCATGGAAAAGAATATGAAAAATAATATATATGTAGAACTGAATCACTTCGCTGTACACCTGAAACTAACACAACATTGTAAATTAACTATACTTCCATTAAAAGACTCGAGCATTTGGGACTGAGGACTACAGAACCTGGGGATATTTAAATGAGGTAAAGAATATTTACAAGCTTATA